GATCGAACCGAAAAAGTAGACAGGGTTTCTACTTTGATCGAATCGCAATACTGCATCGAACGGCTAAATCGAAATTCGGTTTACACATTCAACTTGTTTTCAATTTACGTTCGATTCAATGGCCGTTCAACGTAGATCGCCTCGTGAAAACGCGCCTTTAGCGTGTATTTAGCCACAGTCGCACCAACAAAATTATTAGCGTTTTCGATTGGCAAAACTCGTACTGCACGAGTGTTGCACGAGAAACTGAAAAAATCCATGTGAAAATTGCTCTCAATGGAACATAAATATTTGTTTTCATTTGTCCATAACCTCATTTTAGATTTAGGTAATCGACAAATCTCTATTCTAAAAAATGGCAAACGATTTCAGTATTATTTATGATAAACGATGAGGAATATAAATTTGAAATTCCTGTAAAGGACCAATTTTTGGCGTTCAGTTTAATGAGTAAGTGCAACTTTTTGTAAAATAGAAGTTTTGCCAATCGAAAACGCTATAAGTCGAACTTATAATCTATGGCAACGATTAAGACAATCGTTGCTATGGTGTTTAAGTTATGCTTAACTTTAAGGAATACTTTAGCCGGATTTATAGTTCCGTAGCCGTAAAAACGTAAGAACGGAACCGTAAAACCTTACGTTAACGAAAATAATACGATTTATAGTTACCGTAGTGGTAAGAGATGAACTTGCGTATTATAGCGTTTTCGATTGGCAAAACTCGTGCTGCATGAGTGCAATTTTTACGTTCTATTGGTAATTTTAGGGCAATTTTCTGTGTTCCATTGGCAAATGTGATGCAACAATTACGCACTCAGTGCAAATTTCGACGCACGAGGTCCGAGAGCTCGTGGAGCTGCTAGTTAACAAATTTTCAAAACAAACGTGCGACAATTTGAATTTGTTACTTGCGTTGGGAGTGTTTTTTGTCGTCATCTAGCGATAGCGAAGATGATGAACTAGCCATAACTTCTATTTTACAAAAAGTTGCACTTATACTCATTAAACTGAAAGCCAAAAATTGGTCCTTTACAGGAATTTCAAATTTATATTCCTCATCGTTTATCATAAATAATACTGAAATCGTTTGTCATTTTTTAGAATAGAGATTTGTCGATTACCTAAATCTAAAATGAGGTTATGGACAAATGACAACAAATATTTACGAATATTTATGTTCCATTGAGAGCAATTTTCACATGGATTTCTTCAGTTTCTCGTGCAACACTCGTGCAGTACGAGTTTTGCCAATCGAAAACGCTATTAGTGTGAAACGAATTCTGTCATTGTATGTCATCTGTCAGAGTAACGTGCATTTCAAAATAACAATATCCAACAAAGTGTCAATAATTATTGTAAATAAACGAAACGGACGTCAGGATAAACTCAACTGTTTGAATTATCCGAGTACTACCGAAGACAAGCGCGTTAGCATGATTTACCGTAAGAAATAGGATTTGGGCATTAATTGTGACGGTGCAATTGGCCCATAATGGCGCATACGCACTAAAGTCACTAGATAATATAGTGCTTTAACCATAGATATATAAATACATAGATACAGCCATACCCCAACATAGTTCAAAAGGACGTACCATCTATTACCATCACTTTCGGCACATTAATTACGTATAGCGCTATCCTTTATAGAGGTACCCTGAGCATGGAAGACAAGATTCGCATTATTTATTATAACTGTCAATCAAATTGTTAGCACAAATCACACAGAAAATTATCAGATTTGAGACTTTACAACATAAATAAACCGCCTTTTTATTTATTTAAATTGCATAGCAGCAAGAAATGTTACATTTAAAATGTTACTTAGAAAGCTGGCAAATGAACAATTTGAAAAAATTACATGTGGAAAGTGATTAATTTAAAAGAGAAGTTATATTGGTTGATGTTTCTGAACTTTATAATAAGTGTTAACATTGAATAAAAACACTATAAGAAGCCTAACGCTTATGGAAGAAAGCGCGACAAATCCCCTTGCACCCGCATTGGTTGTGATCAGCGAACTCTCTTTGCGGTAAATAGGAGGAAAGCAAATTCTCATTCTTCTCAGTTCAAGAATCGACACTATTGACAGTGTTCCCATTATATTCTCAGTTCAATCTCTGTCGCGCTTTATTTCCACGGGGTTAGGCTTCTTATAGTGTTTTTATTCAATGGTAAGCGCTTTCTTTCGGTGATCCAAACGCGTTTGGATTGTCAAATCACGTTCTTTCGAAGTGTGATCTTATAATCATGATTGCTAAAATCGTGAACAAACTGAACATAAAAGTTTTATGACACGAATTCCTAACCTATAAATGCAAGGATATTTTTGCTCCAATGTTAGATTAGCCAATATTTGTAACTGAAGAGGAGCATAATCGTGCAAGTACTTCCACTTGTATTTAAATTATTTTCATAATCCAAACAAAAAATACGTAATTCGAATGCAAATGTGCGCTACGTAAACTTAACCAAACTTTGATTCAAATTCGCGCGTTCTTTCGTAAAACGTGATCCTACGAATCACGATCTCGAAATCATGATTGCGAAGTAGGCGAAAGAAAGCGCCTGGTGTTAATAATGACAGTGATGATTCAGATTTGTCAATTTCATCTGAAGATGATTCGGGTTGTGAACTTTTACAAACGTAATGAATGTTCACTAAATGAGTATTATCACCAATTGGATATCATTGTTAAGATTCTTAAAATCTTCTTAAAATTCTTGCCTCAGATTTGCGTATGGCATTCCAAATTATCATCACATCTCTCATAAATTAAAAGATGCCCATTGGCTCAATATGGCAAACAGACGCTACCTTCAGTCTGCGACACTATAGCCGGATTTATAGTTCCGTAGCCGTAATAACGTACGAACGGAACCGTAAAATCTTACGTTAACGAAAATAATACGATTTATAGTTGCGTAGTGGCAAGCGGCAGCTTGCACATTAGCGCGTAACGAATTCTGTCATTGTATGTCATCAGCCAGTAAGAGTAACGTGCATTTCAAAATAATAATAACCAACAAAGTGTCAATAATTATTGTAAATAAACGAAACGAACGTCAGGATAAACTCAGCTGTTTGAATTATCCGAGTACTACCGAAGACAAGCGCGTTAGCACGATTGACCGTAAGAAATAAGATTTGGGCATTTCCTACGTACCGTAACCGTTCTAACGCAACGTTAACGCCAACTATAAATGTTCACGCGCAACAAGTATGGTTTAATTCCAAACGTTACGGTACGGTGTTGCGGGTACGGAACTATAAATTCAGCTTATTTCACAAAATTATTACTGACAAACAACCAGCGTATTTATACAATAAAATCAGGTATAGGACAGATATTCATAACTTGAACTTAAGGCATAGGGGTCTACTCACTATACCCCAGCATAAAACATCTTTATTCCGCCGTTCATTTAGTTACAATATGGCTTCGGTATACAACACTGTACCTTCGTCTCTCAAGGGTTTGACCAGTAAGAAATTTAAGTTTGAAATGTTTAATATTCTATTTACATCACAAAGTTAAGATTTTGTTTCCTTATACCTTTTATTTTTATTTTTCTCATGTGATTTTACGTCTACTTATTTAATATTTGTTTTTAATGTCACTATGGTGTATGTACCTACAGGTTTTATTTTTAGTTGAAAAAGTGTTACTTTTATTTTATACGTCACTCCACTTATTTATGTGCATGGTGCATATGGAAGAGCAGCTTTTGCTGAATTTGTACCATGGGATTCCATGTTATTATTGGAATAAATATATATTATGTTGTATTTATTTTAAATAAATGTACACGTGTAGCTTACTTACTACAATTAGCACTATAATTTCAAAAAGAAACCCCACCGATTGGACATATGCCGAAAGGTAGGCAAAACGCGTAGCGACCAAAATTTGATATTGCACGCACACACAGTCTATAAATCTCGTTTTCCTAAGAATGTTGCACGGATCCTTCTTTGTGATCATGATACAAACGCACTGCATCAACATCATATAGGCCAAAATGATAATTGGGAACGAATTCACTTCCTGTCGCAACTTAATCTCCGTTACCATTACGCCTAAAACCAGGCAATTAAAATTGAAATGTTGAACATAAAGTTTACTTACTTACGGTTTTTTGATATTCTGCAAGCCAGCAATGAATTCACTGCAGCACATCATGCCAAACAAGGTAAACATAGTCCCAAATCTGAATGACGTAGCTCTATGTAATAAAACTATTTCAGGAATAACAATTATGGACGCGTATATCATTAGGGCAAGCACTAATGTTATTCGTATTTAATTGATAACGCAATAATTACATAATATTTAGTGAAAAAACCGCCCATCATGTTTAGGGCGAATATTTTTAGTTAGATTTGATTTCGCGCGATCGTGAAATGTGTCAACTGTCACATGACTTATGGGACGCGCTAAGTTTGTTTTAAGCGTCCGATTCGCGTACAACATAGTGGTTAATGCAATAAAAAGAGATAGAACATGTTTCTTCTTGGTTAGAAAGTAATGGAGAGATGTACAAATTGCTTTGATATGTTTTTTAAAAACCGAGGTACGTTTGTTAAGGATGGCTGTATCTAGGTATTTATATATCTATGTTTATATATCTATCTATGGCTTTAACACGCACGCTAACTATGCGCCATCTATTGAATGTTCTCCAAACGTATTGTATTTGTACTCGGTTGTTCCCGTTTACGTTTCACTTCTAAGTTTATTTGTTTGTTCTGGGCAGACTCACAAAGGTCCAATTTCTCAATGGATCTGTCAAGCTCTTAAAGAAGAAGAAAAGGGAACCAAATTGTCGAATCTGATAACTTTGGATGAAAGTATGTATCCTATAAAAGCCTTTGTATTTGATGTGATGAATTAAATGCTGATGAGTAAATGCCGGTTAGTATTGAACAACTGTGGCATACAAGTGGTTAGCCCTTCAGCTTTAGTGGACAATTATTATCATTTTGTTTTTTTGCAGTTGTACACCAGTTACTATCCATCGGAAGTTCCTTTGTGAGCATGGCGTGGTCGATGGCATCCTACCAAAGACTGCTTCGTGTTTCGTTAAACGACAAAAATAATATCTCCTGGGCGGGCACTATTATACAATTCATGTGGCATTTTCTTGTAACTGTCTCTCGCATACTTTGTATTAGTGTTATATCATCGATATATCTCAATTACACTGTATTAGGTTTATTTGTACACTGGTTGGTTATGACAATTTGGTTACATATTGGAACGACCGAAACAAACTTCTGTAATAAGAACAAAATTTATGACTCGGCGCTGTTTGCTATATTCGGCATGGTTTATATTTTTACATATGTGAATTTAACCGAGGGCAAAACGTTTATAAAATATTTATTCTTTTACTTAATTTTGTTCTTTGAAAACACAATCGCGAATGTCTTTTGGATTTTGGAACGCGATACCGAGCTTATGACTACCCTCTACTACAAGCCAGTGATATATTTGAATATTATACCATTTATTCTTGGAATTATATTTATGATTTTGTACTATAAGGTATTCCATCCAAGTACCGGTTACACTGTTGGTAGGTCGAGGCAAGACATGAGTTGACAGTTGGTTCTTATTAACAATTATGTGCTCCCTTTTGCTTCTTGTCGTCCTTTCAATGATCTGATACCAGTGGTGATATTTCTTTTAGTCTAAACTAATTTATATTTGAAGCTAGGAGTTAATGTAATTAATTTGAAGTTATTTATAAATTATTTATTAATTTTTTTAAAATTAGGTCTATCTCTTTTGTTGTACAAGATCTCTTAGAATACTTTGTTAGAACATTTCATTTCAATTGTTCTAGGTGTAGTGTTATTTTCACCTAACTTTCTATTCCTTTAGTGTTAAAGTTTGAAACTTTTGTAATGGATGCCAAGTTTGCTTATGATGCATTGTGGTGGCAAAATACATTGTGATAGATTCCTATCTATTTTACGCTACCAGAATTTCAAACTAAAAACTCAGGACACTCCATACTTAAATGACCAATAAAACACAAAGGAATAATGCCTCCAAATGATATTTATTATATGCTGTAGTGGTAGTTTACAGTAATTTCTGTGATATGAAACTTTTCAGAATTTTGCAAATTTAGTGGCTTGACTGTGACTCCAAATACAGTTGTTAGGACTTGAGGAGAAACGTTTGATTAAATTTACAACAGATATTAATGTTGGAGATTCCTGTTATTATTATACAAAGACGCTGCATGTATTTTGTATTTGTCTTTCTCCATAAAACTGTTATGGGGATGAAAATTGTATGCAGTACATTTTTGAAAATAAAGGCAATATTAAAAAAAAAAAAATATGTTCTTTCTATTTCGGTGTCACAATGATGATTTTGTACAACTGTTTTCGGAGTTGTACAAAGACAGTGATTATAGTCGTTTTTTTTGGTAACTCATCTCTTAAGTTGGCAGTTACTAGTTAGTACAAGTAGGTACTTCGTTGGGTACTTCCATGTTTGAACTTCAAAATGTCAGTCTTACTACGCTGCCAACCTAAAAGTTAACGGCATAAAAAGTGTTCCCAACATAAAACATGTTAGTTCTAATGTTCTCTATAGTTTCTGATAATGATTTTTTTAATTAAATTAAAGCACCTAAATAGGTAGAAAAAATAGTATGAAAAACGCGTGTTACAATGCTTTATTGTAATACTCCTATTTTGCGGACACTCGTGGCTACGCTTCGCGTCGCCACTTGTGCCACAAGATAGTCGTATTACAATAGGTCGCATTTATTACGTTATATCATTGAATAAAAACACTATAAGAAGCCTAACGCTTATGGAAGAAAGCGCGACAAATCCCCTTGCACCCGCATTGGTTGTGACCACCGAACTCTCTTTGCGGTAAATAGGAGGAAAGCAAATTCTCATTCTTCTCAGTTCAAGAATCGACTCTATTGACAGTGTTCCCTTTATATTCTCAGTTCAAGCTCTGCCGCGCTTTATTTCCACGGGGTTAGGCTTCTTATAGTGTTTTTATTCAATGGTTATACAGGGTGTTACACGACCGTTCGAAAAAAAAAAATTGGGTTGTAGAGGGCATCAAAACAAGCACTTTTTCCAAATAAACCGAGGGTCCAACGTGTTTCGTTTGGGAGCCACCCCCCAAAGAGTGTTGAAATCTGCATTTCTTCTTTAATTTTTTCCTCAGCAACCATAAGAGTTACAAAGTCGGGTGGCATGTCTTTGAATAGGTTTTTGGGTATGCTCTTTCCGATTTTGCAATTTTTTTTTCAAAATTCCTACCCCTAAAGGGCGCACCCCTAAACTAGGGTGCAAAAAAAATTCTGATTTCGACGAAATTTGGTATCTGGGGTTTTTTTAACATGAAAATCACGAATCTGAAATTAGTTTTTGAAAATTCGAAAAAAAAAGTTCCACTGCAATTCTTGGCGGGACAACGAAAATAGAGATAATTCCACGAAATTGTTGTGTACATACTAAACGAGTTAAGGAACAAAACTGTCGAACAGTTTTTTAAAATAACTTTTCAAACAAAAGTTATACTCATTTGAATGTTGGTCCTTCGGGTCGCGAAGTGTCCCAAGCCTACTAGTAAGCCATAATTTCGCATGTGTTGGTTGACAATGTCGCAAAAACAAAAGATGAACGGTTTGAGTCGATATTTTGTTATTTGGAATTAATTCGGTCATTAAATGATTAAAAAATTCGATGTATCGATTAAAACACCTACCAAGGTACATAAAAGCGCTGATCGATTGTTTATTATCTAAATAAGGTAGGGGAAAAGTTTTATTCAGTTGAAGATAATCTTAAAGGTCACGGTTCATTTTTTCTAGAAAACATTTGGCAGTTCTGAAAAGAACTTTTTTTGTTTTTAGTGATCAGTAACGGACTTCACTTCTTCCAAAAAGAAGCGATATGCTTATGCAACATTTTCAAAAATGCCACCGCCAGCAGCCACGCACAATCTGCATCTCCTTGGAACAGAATTTGACGACTTCAACACCATCATAGGATTGGTTTTAATAATTTCTGAAGCTGCCATCACGCGAGCAACCAGTTCTTCCACCGAATCGATTATTCCATTTTCGCTATACACTAAATTTTTCAGGTGCCCCCACAAAAAAAAATCTAGTGGCGTAAGGTCGGGCGATCTCGGTGGCCACGCTACTGGACCACCTCTTCCGATCCAACGATTGGGGAAAGTAGCGTTCAAGTGATCGATGACGGCACGATTGAAGTGGGGGGGTGCGCCATCATGTTGGTACCATAGTCGTTGACGCAGTTGCAGCGGTAGCTCTTCCAAATAATCAAATAAGGTTTCTTGCAAGAACCTTAAATATTGCTCTCCTTTCATTCGTGGAGGCAGCATGTACGGCCCTAAAAGATGCTGTCCTACAATTCCTGCCCACAAGTTAATGGAGAATCTCCGTTGACTTCTTATAGGAAGGACAGCATGTGGGTTCTCGTCTCTCCATTCGTGCCGGTTCTTAACATTAACATAGCCATCTTGATGAAACGTGGCTTCATCCGTAAATAAAATACATAGATGAATGAAAATCAGGGTTCCCACGACGACGTCTTGCAATGAAATGGCAGAACTCTACTCTAAGACCATAATCCGTTGGATGCAGCTGCTGTACTTTTTGAATGTGGTACGGGTACAGTAGTTGTTCTTTCATCACACGCCATACAGCGACGTGGTTCGTACCAGTTACACGTGATACAGCCCGTGTGCTAGTGGAAGGATTTTCCTCAACTTCTTGTAGGACCTGCTCTTCGAATTCAACATTCCTACCAACTGGCCGTGCCCGTGCGGCATAACTCAGGGATCCTGTTTCTACTAAGCGGCGATGCACCTCAGAAAACACTCTACTACCAGGAAGCCTTCGGTCAGGAAATCTCTCTCCGTACAATCGTCGAGCCTCCAAACAGTTTCCATCAGCCAACCCATACATGTAATGAATGTTTGCCAATTCGAAATTCGAATAGTTTCTATCCATCTCGAATAGAACGGAAGAAAAAGAACGCAACACAAAAAACGACGTAACTGACATTTTACAATAAGGACGAACCTAATCCCAGAACAAAAAACTTAGAAGGGAAACGTAAACGGGAACAACTGAGTGCAAATATAGTTAGTTTGGAGAACATTCAATAGATGGCGCATAGTTAGCGGGCGTGTTAAAGTTACTAAATCTAGTGACTTTCGTGCGTGGTCGCCATTATGACAGTTGAATTTTGAATTATGATTGACGGCTTATTGTGCTTTAAGTATAATTACTATTCATTATTACAATGAATTATGCATATACAAGTCGAGAACGTAAATGTTGTGTGACGAATTGTGAAGACGTTTCCCAAAAATGGAGCCCGAAGTTTTTAAGAATTGGTTTAGAATATAATGTGGAAGAAATTTACACAAAACTTTTTGGTTTGTGAACGTCCTTTTTCTGGCTGCGCTTTAGAACCTGGAACACGAAGAGATTTAAAGCGTGTGGCAGTTCGCACATTATATTTAGCAGGTAGCACTAATTGAATTGTAATAAATTGCTACATATTTTGTTTTTAGAACGATCTCGAGGGCATCATACAGTAGAGTTCCATGAAGTTGATCTTGTATCTTGTATAATCATATTAAATTAAATATAACTCCTTGATTGGATTAATTGGAGTTGTTACTTATAAAACAAGTGCTCTGTACTCTTTGAAGGCCCTGGCTGGTGAGGTGCATCCGCATTAAACTGAATTTATTTGGATCTCTAACAAACAAAATTGGATTTCACTGGCTGGATTCATTTACCTTTTAGGTTTCAGCTAGTCAAATCCAATATTGTTACAGATCCGGAGAAATTCAGTATCATGCGGACGTAGCTTACATTTTAATATTTAAATTTGGCGCCATTCACGCAAAAAGCTGCTGAGAACATACACGAGATGGCGCGTCATTATTACATTACATTACAGTTTCCATTCTAAGTTTGTTGTTCTATGGAACCTAATAAGTAAACATTCCATTGTTTTTAGGTAAATTGATAATTGGAAGAAATAAAAATAACAACTAACTTCACATTAATTTAATGTACCTTTTCGATTTGTCCTTAAAAGGAGCGTGTTCTTTTGGAAGTTATTTTTCAACCTAAGATTATGAAAATTTTTGATCATAGTGAAAAAGTATCATACGGAAAGTGATTAATCGATCAGCGCTTTAAGATACCTTGGTAGGTGTTTTAATCGATACATCGAATTTTTTAATCATTTAATGACCGAATTAATTCCAAATAACAAAATATCGACTCAAACCGTTCATCTTTTGTTTTTGCGACATTGTCAACCAACACATGCGAAATTATGGCTTACTAGTAGGCTTGGGACACTTCGCGACCCGAAGGACCAACATTCAAATGAGTATAACTTTTGTTTGAAAAGTTATTTAAAAAAACTGTTCGACAGTTTTGTTCCTTAACTCGTTTAGTATGTACACAACAAATTTCGTGGAATTATCTCTATTTTCGTTGTCCCGCCAAGAATTGCAGTGGAACTTTTTTTTTCGAATTTTCAAAAACTAATTTCAAATTCGTGATTTTCATGTTAAAAAACCCCCAGATACCAAATTTCGTCGAAATCAGAATTTTTTTTTGCACCCTAGTTTAGGGGTGCGCCCTTTGGGGTAGGAATTTTGAAAAAAAAATTGCAAAATCGGAAAGAGCATACCCAAAAACCTATTCAAAGACATGCCACCCGACTTTGTAACTCTTATGGTTGCTGAGAAAAAAATTAAAGAAGAAATGCTGATTTCAACACTCTTTGGGGG